TATCATACACACATATAATACATACATACATATATATACACACACATACATACATATATATATGTTTGTCTTTTAAATGTGTAAGCTGAAGAGTTGAAATAAATCATTCCATTTTTGGAAACTGTGGAGTCTAAGTAAAGAGAAGATACAGAACCAGAATTTTTTTATTTTTATAAAAACAAATGAATTTAAATCCAATATTCGGTCTTCTGTTCAGATAGTATGTGGTTCAAATGCACACAAAAAGTACAGATAAGGTATCTGGAGGAAGAGTATTCTGGTGAAGAGAACTGCAAGTGCAATGACCCGGTAGCAGGAAGGGGCTCTGAGTGATTGACAAATAGCAAGAAGGTTGGAATGGCTAAAGTGCAAACATGGGAAGAGTAGTAAAAAAAGAGGCAGATGAGATGGCCAGGTATTAGGTGGATGTATGGCCTTAAAAATCATGACACAGGAGCTGGCAGGTGGTGTGGTGATTGCGGTGCTGGACTCCCACATGGCTGATCACGGTTCAACTCTCAGACCTGGTGGCCCCAAAATTACAACCGATAAATAAATAAAAACTTAAAAAAAAAAAGGAGATTTTGGATTTTATCGTAAGTGTGTTGGGAAATGATTAGCACTAAAATATCCTTGTAAATGTTATTCAAATTCTACATTATGTTTTTTACAACATATAAAAAGTGGGAATTTTCAATAGAGAGTGTCAAATCATTTAGAACTTAAATGATTTCCTAAGTCACATTTTCTTACTTATTTAGAATTTAAGATATTTCCTAAGTATCAGGCTTTCTTATATTTAAAGCACAAACAAGATGATACATTAGAATGAGTAATGTAATTATTACAAATAATATAAACTGACAAAGGCTTCTAGACAAAGTTCTACTATTTTAAGATGTCTATGTATAAGACATACATATTCAGAGTACATAAAACATATATGTACAGTTTAATGAATAACTAGAATAAATTAGGGGAACCTCCATGTAGTCAAGAAATAGAATACTGTCAGCACCTCAAGAACCCTTGCTATCTTTTTTTTTTTTTAAAAAGAGCTTACTTAGTACCATAATCTGTAATAATTATCCACTTAAATGTCAACTGAAATCATATGACCAATCTTTTTATGGAATGTTCCATAAAAAAGGAATGTTCCCTTAAGTCCACATTTAATTTCAATATGTAAATTGAGTACGTATCAACTTAAAATCTACTCACATTACAGTATAGAGATGTGTGATTTTTAAGGTATTAATTCCTAATTTAAAAAAGAAATATTAGGTATTTAAAAACAGAATTGTGGAACTTGAAGAAAATGTACACATCTTCATACATTTTTGCAAAAAAGCAAATCTAACACTTTAAGCTTTAAGATAAAAA